CCTGGAATGGTTGTATTCTGCTCTAATGGGTGATGTATGAAATGTGAAAATCCTGCTCATGGAAATCTACCTGTCAGAGCTTGTCAAAATTTTTCCAGTTGAACAGTTTTCCAGTGGGGGGAAATGCTGATTTGATAAAATTGAAGAGTTCTGCAAAACTATATCAGTTGTAGCAGCAATATGGTACTGATGGCATTATCAGCCAGATTTTGTTTTGGTGAAGTCAAGGTATCATTGATAAGGTTGAAATGCTTTTTTTAGATGGCAGAGGTGCTTGCAACTGTAACACAGGACTAGATCAAATGTTCCAAGAGGCCCCTTTAGTCCTCTGACTTACATCGCTATGACATTTTCATTTTATTGACTATCTGATCCCTACCTATCTGGCTGCTTACATAATTACCATAGTATCCACGGACTTTATGATCAGGATGCAATTGTTTTAGCAACCCTGAGAAATAGGGAATTAAAAGCTTATGTGCATTTCCCTAGTTCATACAAAAAGTTTGTAGTTGAGTTGGGAATCGAATGTAAAGAACTGAAGCTTAGGCCCACTAGTCTGTCTACTATACAGTAAGAATAAAATTTATGTCAGTAAATCTATCATGCCACACAGTCAGAGGCCTGATAATCAATTAACATGTGAAAAGCGTGGTCACACGTTTCAAAATATTGTGCATGTTCACATAGTTAAGGACCTTTGAACAGCTGATGTGTGCCAATGTGATATAAAATAGGCCAGTACCTTCAATCCATGCACCTGGCAGATATATACAATAGCAAATGGGGATGTCCAGGAACAGAGGAATTACAAAGCAGTTCCCAGGTGAGAGGATTTGTATTCAGGAAATCAGTACAACTGGGAGTAGAGAGAGAGTTCAACATAGGGGCCTAATAGAATATATCAAATTACCGAGGACTGTTTGACTGTGATCCATAATGACATGAAGGCAGTGTTTCTTGAAACCAGTTAGTCTGACGCTAATGTATTCAACACAATCAAAGAAGTCACCTCAGTGTCCTTTATAAAAAGCTCTATGCTTGCTGACTACGGCTGTCTGTCAGCAGATGGTAGTGCAGCATGAAATGAGGCCAGTGGATTCAGTCAATGCCTTTGTTTGATATATAAAATAGCATGTGTAGTTATAAGTGAAATGGAAGAATATTTGAAGAACATCTCACTCTTCAAGCCAGAGCCCCAGTGCAGAGGCAATTAAATGACTCTGATAAGTATCCTTTTCAACCTTTGTAGCTAGGACTGTGTGAAGACATAAGCCTACAATTTCCATTCCTTGAATGTATCAAGAGAACTTTGATTTGGAAGTCTATTAGCTGCAAATGATATCTTGTTTTGCCCTTTCCCTTTCAGAAGGGAAAGTAGCTTATTAAAAATCCAAGGTTCATGCATGCAGCTAAATATAGTAAACTCTGAGGTGCAAAAGAAGACAGGAAAAGTTTAAAAAAAACTTCCCAAGCCTACTGATTTCCTACTAACACTCTCTGTGTATGTCTGCACTGAGCACATCTATGCTTTCATTAATGCACAGTAGTTACTGCACATTTAATTTAGCACTTGCTTAATGAAGTTCTAACTAAATGCACAGTAACTAGAGTTACCACTGCTCAGTAGCACTGGCGCACAGGTTTTTAGTGACACCTACTGCACAGTAGCATATTGGCATGGTTTTTGCCTAGCATACTACTGTGCAGTGTTATTAGGCTACTGTACATTAAGCGTGTAGATACTTAATGTGAGCAAAAGGTCCAACTGCAGCTCAGGTAAACATACCTGAGTTAGGCGTGAACTAGTTAGCTTGGGCAATGACAACAGTGTACCCTGCAATCTGTGCTCAGCTCCATGCTCTCGCAGCTATGTCACTATCAGTACCAAGTAGCTAGTCTTAAAACTTGCTCAGGCTTGTCTATACAAGCTGTGTTTACATCTTTGCACTGCAGCATGGATGTTCCTTTTCTTTCACTACATCTCTGGGAGCAGCAATCTCTAGTGAGATCTTTAAGCATTCTTGCTGGTATTCCAAACAGGGCTAATTGAAACAAAACCATGTAGGTTGGACTTTTGTACACTTGTGCTTACTTCACATTAAGGTAGGTGTGATTTTAAAATGGACTATGATAAATAGGAATGAAACATTCAATCAGGATTAAAAATAACCACACATTGAGGCAATCAGGAGTTGTGACTGAAGTTATTTCTGAAGAATCCCCATCTGTAAACAAACTCCAAGCTCACCTAAGGCAAACAATGATTTGTGATGAATGACTACTAGTAGCAGACAGGCATAGACAATAGAGGTGTTCGAAGCGGACTGTGTTCGATTTGGATTTGGATTCAGCCCAATTCATAGTTTCATAGTTTCTAGGGTCAGAAGGGACCTGAGCAGATCATCTAGTCCGACCCCCTGCCATGGCAGGAAGAGCACTGGGGTCAAACAACCCCAGTAAGGTGGTCATCCAACCTCCTCTTAAAAACCCCCAGGGTGGGAGCCCGCACCACCTCACTTGGAAGCTGGTTCCAGACTCTAGCCGCCCTGACCGTGAAGTAGCGCCTCCTGATGTCCAACTTAAACCTTCCCTCTGCCAGCTTGTGACCATTGTTCCTGGTCGCTCCTTGCGGCGCTCGGGGGAACAGGGACTCCCCCAGTGCCTGCTGATCCCCCCCTAACCAGTTTATAACAGGCCACAAGATCCCCCCTCAGCCTTCTCTTCTGAAGGCTGAACAGGTTCAGGTCCCGCAACCTTTCCTCATAGGACCTACCCTGCTGTCCCTTGATCATACGAGTGGCCCTCCTCTGGACCCTCTCCATGCTGTCCACATCCCTCTT